GTAAATTTGAAGCTTTTAGTACAGAGAAGGAACCGCTCCATATCAAGATTAAATGGGTTTTTTGCGGTAGTCCGACAAGGGGACAGTGCACGAAGCTACCATCTGCAGGGATAACGGCTGAACGCCTTCAAAGTCGAAATCCCTTACCAGAACGGCGGTGACGCTCCCCGAAGGTTAAGACGGATAAAGAATAGGGTTCCGGCCTTCGTATCTAAGCAGGCGGGACATTCCGCCGGCCTTGAAAGCGGGCCGGCGGTGATTCGCGGATTGTAATTTCGCCACGCGCGGGGGTTGAATCCTTTGCAGACGACTTAGATGTGCGAAAGGGTCCTGTAAGCAGTAGAGTAGCCTTGTTGTTACGATCTGCTGAGGGTAAGCCCTACTTCGCCTAGATTTCCCGGCGTCGCCCAGCGGGTGGGCGCAGGGGGGTCTCCTAGCCGCGCTCGGCGGGTGGGTGGTTTCTCACCCAGCTGGCGGGTGCAGGGTAGGTCGAATTGACTTGGTGAGATTCGAGCCGCCTGGCCGGTGCAGGGTAGGTCGGACTGACTTGATGGGATTCGGTCGGTCCTAGCCTGGGGCCCGCGTGGTGGGTGGTGCTTAACTAACCCAGGCGGCGGGGTGCAGGGTAGGTTGGTCGGATTTGACTTTGTGAAATCCGAGCTGCCCGGCCGGGTGCAGGGTAGGTCGGATTGACTTGGTGAAATTCGGGGTGCCTTGCCGGGTGCAGGGTAGGTTGGATTTGACTTGGTGGATTTTTTTTTTTTTGTTGTAAACGATACAGGGTAGGTTGAATTGAGTTGGTGAAATTCAGGCTGCCTGTCTGACTCTGCAAGTGCAGGGTAGGTACAGGGTAGGTCGAATTGACTTGGTGAATTTTTTTTTGTAAACGGTACAGGGTAGGTAGGTACAGGGTAGGTTGAATATAACTTGGTGAAATTCGGGCTGCCCGGCTGGTGCAAGGTAAGTGCAGGGTAGGTTAGGTGCAATTTAACTTGGTGATTTTTTCTTTTAATGCAGGGTAAGTCGATTTGACGTGGTGATTTTTTTTTTTTTCAAAGTGCAGGGTAGGTTTTTTTTTTGGCGGGTAAAATTTTCACCAAGTTAAATTTGTCGGCCCAACGCGGAGATGGGTTTGGTGGCGGTGGGTCGATTTTTTAAAAACCCCATACAAAATAATTTTTCGGGAACCTGGCCGCGGCACCGGAACGCCCGCCCGCGCGAAACGCGCCGTCCCGATGTCGGTGGTTATATGAGGAGCCGCCGGCCGTAGCTGCGAGAGGCGTGTAGGGTAGGGAGGGGGAAAGCCGGGGGGGAGGAGGAGGTTCTTTAGGCATGAGGACTTTTTCGACAGCGGGCTTCGGGGCGTGAGCCGGAAGCTTCAGGCGGGGGCGGCAGGGCGCGCGGGGCCAGGGTTAGGGTTACGGGGGGTTACAGGGGGTTAAGCCCTGTAATTACAAGGGGTAAGCCCTGTAATACAGTGGGTACGCGCTGTAAATACAGTGGGTAAGCCTTGTAAATATAAGGGTATGTCTTGTAATACAATGGGTAAGCCCTATAATACAGTGGGTAAGCCCTGTAATACAGTGGATATGCCTTGTGATACAGTGGGTATGCCCTGTGATACAGTGGGTAAGCCCTGTAATATAATGGATATGCCCTGTAATACAGTGGGTAGTTGCAACCACCACCAACTCTCCAAACTATGCATCGCTAACGGAGCCCCTAAGGATTAAAGCTAACCACCAACTACAGCGTCGACCCCCTACACTTACACTGCCATTTATACTGCCGTTTACAACCATATATCCCTCAATCTTAAACACCCTCTGGACCGGCGGTGCAGGGTAGGTTTGAGAGTTTGGTTTTAACTTGGTGAATTTTTTTTTATCGAACCCATGTGTCCCTCAAATCTAAACACCCTCCTGGCTGGCGGTACAGGGTAGGTCACGCGTGGATTTGACTTGGTGAAATCTTTTGTGCTGAGCGGTGTAAGGTGTGTACAGGGTAGGTGCAGGGTAGGTTAGGTGCAAATTTGACTTGGTGAAATATTTTTATTTTTCAAAGTGCAGGGTAGGTTGAGTGCGATTTTAACTTGGTGAAATATTTTCAAAGTACAGGGTAGGTCAGGAGGGATCTTTTTGGGTTGCCGGCCCAGGGGGCGCCTTAAGCACCTTTCTAGTGGTCCCACGCGTTTCGCAGGCTTAAACAACCCTTAGGAGCCATTGCACCTTACCCTTGGTGGCCGCGTTGCCGTTGATCAGAACGAGGTGCAAGGAAGGTATAAGGTAAATTTAGTTAAAGTAGGTTAAAAGTGTCCTTTTTACATTGCCGACCCATAGGCCGCCCTAAGCACTTTTTTAACAGTCCCCCGCGTTTCCTAGGCCTAAATAACCCCTAGGGACCGCCGTACCCCGCCCCTGGTGGCCGCGTTGCCGTTGCACAAAGCGCGGTGCATGGTAAGTACAGGGTAGGTCGGGCGGTGCAGGGTAGGTCGGGAGGGACATTTTTGGATTGCCGGCCCTGGGGGCGCCCTAGGCGCTTTTCCAGTGGTCCCGCGCGTCTTGCAGGCTAAAACAACCCTTAGGAACCACTGTACCGCACCCCCGGTGGCTGCGTTGCCGCTGCACAGAGCGAGGTGCAGGGTTGGTGCAGGGTAGGTCGGCCGGTGCAGGGTAGGTCGGCCGGTGCAGGGTAGGTTTGAACGACACTTTT